AGTCAGCAGCAGGCGAGTGAGTCAGCAGCAACCACCAGCGAGCGGCGAGTCAGCAGCCGCCACCAGCGAGCGGCGAGTCAGCAGCAGGTGAGTGAGTCAGCAGAAACCACCAGCGAGCGGCGAGTCAGCAGCCGCCACCAGCGAGCGGCGAGTCAGTCAGCAGCAGCCGGCAGCGAGCGGCCAGCCAGCTCGTAACACATACATGTTACATGCTCGCGCGGAGGTATGCACTCTCCGTGAGTGCCCTCTGCCTAGTTACCGGCGTGAGACGACATCGATAAGAGATGACGGAGAGCAACGTACGTGAAAACAACACAAATCTAAAGGTCGACGCGAAATGACGGAACGCGAGGTACGCGAAAAATGCCGCGATTCTACGATGGCCGCACGAACTCGACCGGCCGACCGACGTGGCGACAACGACGTGGAGAGACCGCGGCACACTCACGACGTAGTAGAGCGACGGCGTCGGTGGCGCCCTCTCTGTGAGATTGTCGATGCGGGCGTCGGTGGTGGCGACGTCCCACGCCGCGTCGCTGCCCTGCAGCTTGCCGTAGAACGCCAGCAGTGACGTCAGCTCCCTCCATCCGTAATGCAGCATCAGCCAGTGACTTTGTAGCTGCACAGACACGTTACCACGGCAACGTAACGACAGGCAAAGCAACAGTAATGACATCATAAACTAATCACGCACGCATCTGTTTAGAGGTCGCGCAGCAGTAACAATGACAGTAACGATGACAGTAACGATGCAGAGATGTAATATCGAATCTTGTATTATTATATCGAACCACATTCAACAAGTGCCGCAGAGCGACAGCGCTCATCTATCGTCTACTGCGGTGACTCTGTGGTGGAGTGGTGGGATTCTAGTAAACCCTGTTAGTCCCAAATGTGTTCACATACACGCCGAAACATTGGAATGCACAAGGATGGTATCAGGAACCTTCTCAAAGGAATGTTCGTTGGGATCATTATGAAAGTTGCCACGAGATGGCGCGTAC